GGTTGTGTTGCATGGCTGCAGTGACATTATCAGTGTATAGTGGAATTTCATGGTGAACAACAGCCCCTTCCACCCAATGCAGCACCATTGGGTTGTGTTGCATGGCTTCACTGACATCAGTGTATAGTGGAATATACCCAAAAAGGTTTCTAGTGGGAAATTGAAGTTGACTGTGCTGTAGTACTGTGGCTTGCGACTGACAGTGTTATCGTAACATGACAACATTTTTCATAGTCGATAGGAGTATTTTTGAATACCAGATTGTGCTCAAGTTAACCATAACTAAATACTACTGAAGAGACATTACCAATTATGGGCATGTTCAGGGGTGCAACAACAAAAACAGAATTTGGAGCAAGTTTTGGAGCAGCAAAATACTACTTTTGGAGCACTAAAATCCAAATTTAGAGCAGGTTACGGGAAAAATTTTGCTTATGAAAGACCCAATTTGGGGCTGTACGAAAAAGAAGGATTGCATATAAAGAAACATGTACAAAACATTCAACCCACCTAAATCGTGCATAGTGAACACTTCAGTAGAAGTATTCTGAATTACCCACAGAACAAACAACCAAGTCCCCCTTAGCATTTACCGTGCTGGCGAAATCCTTTGACAGACTCTTTAAATACAAATGTGGCTCTGCCGAGCTGGTGACCTTGAAATTTGGCATATTTGTAAAACTGCATAGGGATGGCGAAAGAAAAACTGGTGCACTGTTTTTTTATGGGGGGGGGGGGGGACAGCAGAAGTTTCATTTGCTGCTCCAAATGATTGCCAGCAACTCTTTTAGACGCCAGCGATCACAGTAGTAGTTACAATAACGCAGCACATACACGCATGAGTAATTTAACAAAATGTGCCGAGTTTCGCGACTAGCCTCTTCCAAATTCCATGACACTTTTCCGCAAGATACCACTGTACTGCGACCAAGGTGGCTTAAGCAGCCTTCTGTGCGGGTTAGAACGAGGCAAAAAAAATTTTTGAACGGCTACACCCCCTCCCCACCTCGACCCCCACTTTTTTCCCCTGACGGTGGGGTTAGGTTTAGGGCCCAACTTCTCGGCTTGCTTGCAAGGAGAGTTCGACCAGATAAAGCAACAACGATGTGCACCCGTTGGCTCCGCGACGGATATTCATCGCCTGGAGGATGCAACATTAAGCCAGAAAAATTGTGTCATTACTATGGCAACAAATATGGTGGATGGCAATTACGACATTCACAAACATCGACCTTGTTCGCGACCATAAACACGGCTAACGTTTTTGACACGCCACACCCGCGTTTGCAGACTGGGAAATTCATATTTCCCGCAAATCGTTGGTGGCTGCAGCAACACTTTTAAATGTGAATGCATTTCTCAGTCGGGCTAGGCCAGGCATACGGCATTATCTGCGCGCCGGTTGGTGTTATCTTTCAGCTAGTGTAGGTGTTAGCTCTCCCATAGCAACAGCTGCAGATGCGCTGGCTTATCCTCCCCCTTAGCAACTGGAGCATGTAGTGCGAAAGTGTAGGAGAGGGTAGGTACAGTGCTTCGCCGCTCCTCTCACCATTTGCACTCTGTCCTCTCTCCGCCCCACTTTCCAGTCCACTCGCGCCTCGCTCTCAACCATTCGCTGGCTAGGCGCCTCAAGAACATTCGGAAATGTGTGCGCAAGATGCCGCTATAAAACGCCAATGCCGAGCAGAGAACGCTGTTTGTTTATTGTATATTTTGACCATGCACGCTAGCTACTAGAGCTGAAAATGCACTCCGCATTTTTAACAGAAAAACACCACGTGCAGCGAACAGTGCTATTGGCTGCACGGTGTAAAAAAAAAACACATTCTACTAACGCTGGGTTTTCACGTGCGAAACGCCGTTATGGATGCTATGGAATGCATTTGCATTTCCTCACGATTCCCTTCAGGAAGGTGGGTTTTTTTTTTTTTTGCTTGATCTTTCATCGACTCTCCTATAAGTATCCACTATGGTCTGTGGACCGATGGGCGCATGGCATTGTCACTTCATCTTATACTTTGTTTGGTTGATCCCAATTTGCAGGTCTCCTCGCCCAACGAGTAAAAAACTAACACTGCATTTTAAGGTTAGGGTCTGCCACTTGGTTTGATTGATGACGCCAAGTGCAGGTGGCAAATGTGGCTTCCATAGCATTCTAAAGCTAATGCACGTGAAATAATTTTGAAGCTGGTCAGACATTTTGGCACAGCGTGGTGCAATTTCAGCAAATTTTGCGGTTTTGGCACAGCTGCGCGAAACGAAAGGGCATTGTATCGAATTGGCACAATTCATTGATTGATTTGTGGGGTTTAACGTCCCAAAACCACCATATGATTATGAGAGACGCCGTAGTGGAGGGCTCCGGAAATTTCGACCACCTGGGGTTCTTTAACGTACACCCAAATCCGAGTACATGGGACTACAACATTTCTGCCTCCATCGGAAATGCAGCCGCCACAACCGGAATTTGATCCCGCGACCTGCGGGTCTGCAGTCGAGTACCTTAGCCACTAGACCACTGTGGCAAGGCCAAATTAGCGCAATTAGCACAGCTGTAGCACTCCTGAACGTTGCATAAAATTTCTGCAGAGAACAAGTGCGACTGTAGTGCCTACAATTTTTAACTTAAAAGCAAAACTAGAAAAGCATTGGCATTCTGCTGCATCATGTATGACGTTAGCACACGATGCTACATCAACAAAAAGAAACACTTTCAGCTTGTTAATAACTGGGAGAAGCATGCAGACATGCTACACATGTTGAGAGAAAGATATGGCTCAGAATTGCAAGCTAAATGAAATCGTGACCTAACCCTATGGCAGAGAAATTTTGCAGTGTTCTGGGGCAATGCAGTGAACGGAACATCAAATAGGTGTGCTCTACTTGCATATATTTGTGGCTAAATCAACATTTAACATATTTTGAGTTGTTTTCAATAAGCACAGTACCAAGCTTTATATGTACACAAGTACATTCTTCAGATCTGAAGTAAGTATACAAGCTTTACAAAGTGACAAGAAAATTTGGACAGCTTAATTGACATTCTTGCAGTCCCTACATAAAGAGACTTTAAAAATCTTGAAATTTAAGTTATCAAATTATGTTTTTGCAGTACATCCAGGCAGTAGCAGCCAATGCCCAATGGGGCGGTCAGTGCAAAAGCTTTTTCGTGTGTTTAAGCTGTGAAGTGAAGGCAGCAACATGTCATCCTGCATATCTTACATACTTAGCTGTACGTGCATTCTACAGTCAAACCTCAATATATCGAACACTGATATATCGAATTATTGCCTATATCGAACGGTTCCTATATCACGCAGATCGCATGCATTATTGATATTTTATTTCGAACAAAGTTTGACATATAATGGATATATCGAACTCAGCCACCCCAAACCGCCCGCGCTCCATTGACAGGCGGCGAGCTTTCCTGCAACTCTCGAAAGTAGCGGTAGAGCGGCGAGCGTTTACGAATGCTGCACACATTGATGGCGCTGAGAGCGCCACTTTTAAGGTAGCGGCGTACGCGTGCCGCAGCCTTGCAGCTTGTAGTCATTGCAGTCTCTATGGTGTCAACGGCACACTGCGCACTTGTTGGGAGGATTCGCTCGCAGGATTTCAAGCTGGACGGTTGTGCCCTCGCGATCTCCGACGCCAGCGTAGCTCCCGCCGACTGGTTCGCCCTCCACGGTCTCCTGACGCCGTGCAGCTCTCTCATTGTGGCGCCCCGCCCTTGGACTGCTTCGAGCGGATCCCCACTTTCCTATCTTCTTTTTTCCGTGGCTTGCCTGTCTATTTCTTCATCTATTTCCTTCTATTCTTTTTATCCCTCCTTCCCCCCACCCCTATAAGGCACTGCGCTGTGTCGCCTGAAGGCAGACAGAAATTAGGTGCCTTTTTCCTCTTCCTTACAACCACTACCACCACCACTTGTTGCAAGCTCCTACCCCGTAGCATCGGCAAGCATCGGTCGTAGTGCTCGCAGTGTTCGTGCGTTCGGAGTTAGGCCTGTCGCGCGCTGTCCTAACTCCGAACGGCGGAGCTCACGGATGTGGAGATTGTCGCCGAAGCTACTGCTGAGCAGCCAAATGAAGACTCTGCCGAGGTGGATCCCGCAAGCACTGATGGTGTCCCGCTCCCGACATCAGCTGAGGTCGTAGCTGCCTTCGCCCTTGTGCGCCGCCACTGCGGCGTGATTGAAGGCACCGGCCTATCACTTATGGAGGACGCAGTCGTAAAACACGCTATGGGCAACAAAAAGCAGGCTACTCTTTTTCAATATTTTAAACCAACACAATAAATACTATGTTTGAATCTTCAAGTGAGTATTTACTACACCACGCTTGAACTGTTCGTTGGTTGTTTTCAGCAAGCTGCTGACGCATTTTTTTCGTGATTTCTTTATATAGAATTCTGGATATATCGAATTATTTCGCGATCGCCGCGCCGTTCGATATATCGAGGTTCGACTGTATAATGGGAACAGGCACAGCAGCATATGTCAATGAACATAAAAGCAACTAAAATTGGCATTAGCACTAATACAATGTAAGAAGCAACATTTGACTCAATTACATAAAATCTACCAAGAATTGTAATGGAAACAGAATGCTTAATGCAATGGCATAAAGAGTTTACATCATGACTCTTAGTGCAGACAGTATCACGGTTGAACTGCACAGGTGACAGGACCATGTGAATGTCCGTTACAGTGACGGACAGCTACCAAACGCTTTATTTTTTACCAGAGGCATTAATCCCATATACCAAGAAGCCTGATCCATCACAAGGCAGCTCAATCTTACAAATGCTGCAGAGATGCACAGCATGTATTTTAGACCCATTGAACTAAAGTAGAGAAAGAATGATCACTTGAGGCACTGTTTCTCTGTCCCTTTCACATCAGCAAGTTCACCAATGCATACTTCAGATGCATACTTCAGCAGATGCATACTTCAGATGCATACTTCAGCACTTGAAATACAGAGTTCCCTGAATGACAATACTAAAAGCAAATATTTGGCGTCTCTTTCATGCATGCACAGTAGAAGAAACTAATACATTGTTTGCTATGACAGGAATATAGTGCTTCTGTGTTCACTAAAAAGAAGCAATCAAAATACAGACAGATTAAAGTTCAAGGGCATCTAAACAAATGAGTAATGCAGCACAAAAGCTTACACTTTGTTTAAGTAAGTACCCAAGAAGATTATAGTGATCAATATTGTCTAGCAATGCCCAAATGAAATCTGGTTGTCAATAGGGAGTTTTATATTTTGTGTCTGCACAAAACAAAGGATTTTCACACCTTCACATATATTTGTGTTCTTTTGTACACCCAGCAGTCTGCATCCCTTACCCAAGGATGTAAAATATAAGAGTCTATTCACACCAAACAGGAGTGAGATGTGGACAGCTTATGAAAGCAAACAAAGATGCATCAGACACAGACATTCCTCAATCAGCTAAGACATTTAGCCAATGCCAACGAACAAGTGAAACCATAAATTAGTGCATTTCAAACATGACATGACAAACTACTGCCTAAGTAATCATAGTGCAGCTGTGGCCAGAACAAAGCACACCTTTTCCGATTTATTTGGCTTTGACTTGGTTGAGGAGATCGTCGTAAAGTTTTGTCAGTTCCGTATTCTCTTCATTCTGTGGAAGAAAATTCAAGCAAGTTCACAATAAGGAAAGAGACCAACTAGCCTGAATTTTATCCAGATATAAAACCTAACTTTGCACATTACATGCAAGCAAACATATTTTGTTTCAGGGAGCATTGAAACTTCAACACTGTGCAGCTTCAAGGAAATACTCTTCATGAAACATCTTGTTTAATGAAATGCACATCTCGCAAATGTTTTTCCACACCATGGCTTCTTTTGACAGTGAGGCATGCAATATGAAGCAATGCCATGAGGAAAGATGGCAATTTAGAAACAGATCAGAATTAAACTGAATATTCCCTTACACAGAGGAATGAAAGCTGCCAAAGTAAACTCTGCTCATTGGAACAGGTATTCTATTTTTGCGACAAACAACATGCATTTTGGAGCAGCTCCAAAAGCCCAACAAGAGTGAAGTACAGACAGATTAAAAGAAGGTTTTCCTTGACATAGCAAGGCACTATAAAGCTGCACACTCGCAGTGTTCCAATGAAACAGACATAAAAATCCTAACCAAAAGCAAACGGCGACCTATAGGGCTTCTCACCAGGAACCATAACGAATTCTAGTAATACACTGGCAGCAGTTGTGTGTCCGAAGAAGAGCGTTACGCCCCAAGAATCTGTTCATTACAAGCCGAGAAACCTATTATTGTGAAGCAGCGCAAAAACATGATACAAGGAGACCATCTTGAAACCCTCGCAGCTCGCCCCGCGTAGCTTTCGCGAGCCAAATTTCTTTCCTACCCTTTCAGACATTTGAGCAAGAGGTAATGTGCGCATGACGTGCCCAAGCAAGGCAAACCCCCGAGCGCAAAAGCGGCATTGTTTTGTTGACCAGTGTTATTTTGTGATCTACAGCCCGTTTCTGTGAGATGGATGCCTTCATGTGTGCTCGTTTGGAATTAGACGCGGTAGAATACATGAGCATATTGAGTGCTCGAACTCGCCAGACCATTAATGTCACTTCCAGGGCTGGCGTCTGCTCAATGCGCTAACAGTGGGGACACGAACACATGCGAAATACAGGCACATTAGCCCAGCGTCTCGTTGCAATTCAGGAAAAAAAAAAAAGACGCAGATTCTTTTTGAGCGTCTTATTTTATATCTCCAGTTGTATTCATCTATTCAAGCAGCAAATTACACAAACTACAGATGCCGTGCGAAATAATTTTTGACGTGTCACGTGCTACTGTTGGGGATGTCACAGCACAGCCGTCTACGTAAGCGATTCTTTGTGATTAGATTCTTCATTGTACCGTTTGCTCGGCTGCGCTGTCGCCATGGTGTGCCATGTGACTAGGTCTTCTGCCTGATATGCGTGCGTGTTCCTTCTAATAACATTTAGTTGAGAGTTGAGCACCTTGTCTCTTTCTTCTGTCTTTGTCTGTATATTTGTGCTGTTTTTACATTCAAGCATGAACCACCAACTAGCCCAACTTCAGCTTCTATTGGCGAAAGAATGCAGCCGCTAATTTCCAATGCAAGATATTTTGCAACGTTTCTGTTGACAATAATGCTACCTGTTACATAATAGGCAAAGTCGTTCCAATGTATTCTTTTTAAATAAAAACAAATAATATTTACATGACCAACACCCATCAAACATGCAAGGGAATTTCTTTTCACTGTAATGCTACCTATTGAGTTTCAAATTAAGGGAGACATTCACTTCAAATGGAAAGTACAGCCACGGCCACGTCTGAGTAAAGCACATGAGCAGCCGGATTTTGCTCTGCCAGGCAACACCTTGAGGCAGTTTCTGGCTCTGACCTCTTGTGTCGGTAGCATGCGCAGCCTAGTAATCAGGCTGACCACATCAGCCCAAAACTGCCTCAAGGTATCGTGTCACCCCCCAGAACAAGAACTCGCTGCTTGCACACTGTACCCAAGTGTGGCAGTGGCTGTATAGTAACCTCATTCCAACATTCATGGGGGAAGAGGGGGGGGAGAAAAGTACATGTTGGTAAAATGCATTATCAAAATTTGATGAAACATTGTACAGTTTACTTGGATAACGATAATGTGAGCATTGGTACCAGGAAGCCATGCGAAATAAAAATGTATCGAGGTTCTACTGTATTATTCATTAATACAGAAAATAAACAGCAGGAAAAAACACCGAGACGACAGGTAAATTATTATGGTGCCCTAAATCACGAAAAGCACGACAGATGGAAGACAAACGATGACGAGCGACAGACTTCATTCACTGCTCATGCTAGGTATGCCTTCTCCTTATTGGCGAGATTTGGGGACCGCACGCTTACACTGAACTCCTTCCGATGGGAAATGCGTTCTGCTTCAATGATACCATCGATAATTCGCATTTTGTAATTACTGATGTGTTTTGAAGTTCGGGGGAGCAATCCTGGAAAGTTATGCAATGTCTAGAAAGAAAATCGAATCAAAATTTTTTCAATCACATGCATTTTTTAGACGCATGCTCCCTCAGCTTATTGCTTACACATCTCCCGGTTTGGTGAACTTGCGCTTTAAAAGAAATTCGGTTGACCACCCCATCTGCACAATCAACAAAAGGACTCCTGTACTTTGAGCCACACACTTTTTGCATCATTGCTTCTGGGTCAGTCATTCTGCATAGCTTAAACAGCCCATTTGTTGCTGAAAATAAGACTCATGTCATATCGCTGGGCCACCATTGTGGAATGTTGTGCACTGTGCACGTAAGGTATCACCGCTACCTTCTGCCTGCACAGTGCGCTAGCTTCTCAACTTTGCGAGTGATGGCATGTGGATGATGTCTGTGTCTGACAGTATAAATATAGGTGCAATTTTCCAATTAAGACTGTTGAAAATTAAGCACTCATCATTGTTTCTTTTTCACGTGTTGTTTTTCTGCGCTGCAGTGCACCAGAATAATGTACCAACAAGCCCAAATGGCTCCTTTAACGAAAGGTAAACACTGCACAAGCACTGTCTGTGAGCATGTCTAAACGTGGTTGCTGTTCCCTTTTATGATTTTTAAGCATACAAGTGTAGCTACAGACAAGGAAGTATAGTGCCGGCACATGGAAGCATACAGTGGCAATAAGCACATCAACTCCAAATACCGAATACTTTAAACTTATGTCTGCAATTAGCCAATAGCAATCCATCTGCTCTTTGACGTCAAACAGCAAGAGCCAGCAGCTCTGAAGAGAGCACTGGCCTCTGTATTAAAACAGAGTGCCCGTTAAAATATCAACTTAGCGCTCCGCTTCTGAACAATGCCTGCCGCCCATGATTGCAAGATTTGTCGTAGCAGTGTGTACTTTCCCCAGAATGTTTTTTCGGGAAGATCAAGGGGTGGTTTATCCAACATGAACCAATGATAACCTACAAAGCATACTTGAAGTTTAAGACGTGAATACGACACGGACGAAGAGAGACAATACACAAGGAGCACCACTTCGAACAATGATTTATCCCGAAAGAGCACAGAACATGCCGGCAGTAAACCGTGGCAGCATTCATTGAGTCATTGGGTTCCTGACTTAAGCGCCTGCACGGTAGTCACCCGAAGCCTTAATAAATCAGTAAGGTCATTGAGGCCAAGAGAATAAACGAATTAGGTGGTCTATGAGTCGGTATTCATTATCATCAAAAAAGTAACGCTACTTGAATGCGACTGCGCATTAAGGCATGGTAAAGGCGCACGTGGTGTCTATATATGTTCTGTGCTCTTTCAAAAAATATCTTTGATGGAACTGGCACTCTGTGAGCGTGTGGTGTCTCTTTTCGTCCATGGTCTATTCGCACCTTCAACTTCAAGTATGTTAAACCAACAAGCCCAGTCTGCCATTCCTACAAAGCATGATGATTGATATGTAGGGTTTAATGTCTCAAAACCTCCATATGATTATGAAAGACGCCGTAGTGAAGGGCTCCAGAAATTTCGACTACCTGGATTCCTACAGAGCAGTATTAGCAATTATAATCTAAAAAACACTAAATGAAACAACAGTGTGAAGTAAATATGAGATTATCGAAGGTAAGTGAGATAAGAACAAACCTTTACACAAAGTTTTTAACAGTTAGTGGTAGCTAACCTTTTGTTTAGCAGCATAGTTAGGTGTGCGAATGGAATCCAAGGTGTCCGGCAAGTCCAGACACAACTACTTACCTTCTGCTCAAGTCTTTTTTCAAGACTGTTGATGGTCATACAAGCCTTTTTGAGTTGACCTTTCAGAACAGTGATGTCTGCTTCAAAGGTTCGCTTTGTATTTTCCACTTCTTTGTGAGCTCTGGAAAAAAAAAAGGGGGGGGGGGGGGTGACAGTGGTGGGAAAATAAGTTCAAGCGGTATCTATCAGAAACACTTTGATAGGCAAAGGTTGAAGCACACAAATTGTGACAGTGCACCTTGAGTTTTCAATTCTCCTAAACATTTGCGTTCATGCTATTTGCTTTGAGGCACATTTTGAGCTGTCCCTCTTTCCCTTATGCATGACTTTCCTTCAAGCACCCTACAAGGCTATATATTTGTTGCACAGTCTACAAAGAACTACACACCCTTCAATGCTTTCCTCAGTTTTGGTCTTTATAGCATGAACCATGCGGCATTTCTTCTCCAAGGCTTCATTAGCCTCCGCTAACTGCCGTTTCAGAAGAGCTTCATTCTGTAAACATAAAAATTAAGAACCAGTCAGCATCACCAACAAATAATAAGACAGGACTGTACTAGAGCAGACTTCACAGTAAGTTCCACTTAAATGGACCTTTGATAATGTTTTCAACAAGGTGAGAAAATGCTGCGCAGCTGAGGGTTCTGTGAACATGTGCGACAGATATTGCAGCACTGCACAAGGCAAGGATTACAATCGAAGTACATTTTAAAGAAAGCTAGAAATCCCTCGCTCTTCTCAACTCCATAACAGATTGGCACAACTGCATCACAGGTGGAGAGACGTGACTATTGGCAGATCTTTAAACAAGCGCACTCATCATTGTCCCCAAAGTGAGACAATGTGCTCAAAGAAAAAAAAAGTGCTCAAGGTCACGACACAAGCTTGCATAGTTTTCTGCCCGTTCACATGGCGAGAGGCCGTGAACCAGCTTTTTAAAAGGTCTTGGAAATACTTCAGAATGAGTGCAGTTTTGACCACAAATTGATTGTGCACCTTAGAAATAACTGTGTGGAAGACATAGTACAAGCCCTATGTTCCCTTCCTCATTCATCCTTTTTCCCCCCAAAGAAGCAGGGCGCCAGCTATGGCAATGTGTTCATAACAATGTGTATATATGAGTATACAATTAATGTGTGAATATGTAATTCAATACTGTAGGTGCGTGTCTTAAATTTATTTCTGTGTAATGGAAAGAGTCTTGATGTCTGAATTTGTTTGTCTATGTAGCCTATTTTGTAAATGTTGGTGCTATTGCTATGTTCTGTTATTTTGCTGCTCCTTGTATTTTGATAATAATTATCCAATGTTGCACTGCTTGCTGATCGTTTTTGACATTTCGCGTAGCGAAGCCACATCAGGCCAAATGGCCTCTGGCTTCGCTTTGTTTTTCTGTAACTTTTCAAGAGTAAAATCTGTTCATTCATTCATTCAACATGTGAGTGTGGTCGATCGAAAACATCTGACCCACATTTTCGTGAAAAAGCGCGCACAATTCTAAGAAATTTTAAACAACCCACCAAATCCTGTTCAGGGGAGATCCTGCTTCAACTTTCCACGGTTATGTATTCTTATGTGGCGATTTCAACCATGCAATTATTGTTCTAATATATGTAATTTTAAAACTATCGAATAATTTCTGTATTGTTAGGAGCAAGATTTATTTCTGAACTGTGAGTGTGGGAAAGTAAATTAGCATGTCACAATAACTAGGGTGAATACTGTATGCAGTGAAACAAAAATAGATGTTCCAAACTCATTTGAGCAAAATTGATGGCACATTGAACATTTGCAAGAGTGAGCGATAAGCTGGATCAAACTGGGATCAAGCTGGGAATGTTCAACGAACTAACTTTTGTTCAAACGGGCCTAGAACATCCATTCTTGCTTTACTGCACGCAGTGTTGATTCCAGGTTACTGTGACATGCTAATTCACTTTAACTCTCCAAATTTATAAATAAATGTTTTTCTTAACAATCTAAATGAAATATTTGATATTGTAAAAAAACATAGGTTGTACAAGAAAAAAAAGAATTGAAATTGCATATTTGAAATCAGAACAAAAATACATAAGCTGCAAATCTTTCATCAAAACCTACTCAAAAATAAAGAAATATGCATCCTGAGCAGGGTGTCCCCTTAAAAGAGCACTGGCATAAAATTTCAGAATTGAGATGCGCCCTTCATTTGACTGCTCAATATGTGCAAGTCCTCTTGGCCAAGTTTCAATCGCGTCCATCGTATGGAGGTTATTTTATTTCAACTGCAAACAGCGTATAATAGCTTAATGAAAAATGGAGTGCCCTTGCGACATTGACACCCGTGTTACGTGTTTTGTGTGATACATTCCACACATGCCATCCTGAGTGACGACGCTTTAGTAGCGATGATGTCTATGACAGGAGTGTTATCTTGGCACCAACTGGCGCTGAAGCCTAGAAATGCACTCACTCACCATGCCCGATCTTCGTCGCACCGCATTGAATAATTTCATGAATTTACCAAGATGCAAACCACTCGTAAATGATCAGCGAAAGAAAAGAGCATGATTCAACATGTGCTTCTCAGTCACCATGTCGGGGAACCATTGTGAGTTGCAGTCGTTTGGTTCGAATTGCGGAAAAAGCGCAGTGAGGATGTCTTTTCATTACGCGTATATTACACACACACGACCACAAGCTATCGAAGTGGAGTAGCGTATAGACAGATATCGAGGGACTCGCAAGTATAGTTAACAGTGAATGTTAGTGCATCCGTAGATTTCCTTGCGTCTGCGTAATACCGGGTGGGTCACTGCCGCCGCCACCGTGAGAGGCCGGATAAGTGGGGCCATCTGGAGGCGCAACGAAAAGCCTGGCAAGCAGGGAGCGTATACCTGAATGCTCTGCACACCAAAACACACCAGTATAGCTAATTTAGACACACGAGCGAGCATGGCCAAAGCATGCATCCCCAGGCACCTCATTGTTGCTTAGAATGATGCCCATTTGGAAATTTATTCTACAAAGGGTCGATTAAAGTAAAAATGATTCGTGACGTCACGAATCGCGGCAATTCCAAGCACCAGACTGTCGTATTCAACCCTAGTCGACATCATGTATGGTGGCGACGGCAATGCAGGTGACAAGGCATGACTGAATGTGTGCGCCTAACAGACGAAATGCTTGCGGAGCAGCTGAGCTTAACGTCCCTCATTTCTGTGGAGAAGTGGTCAGCTGTGGCGCGATCTGGATGCGACCTCAAGGTAGCGCCACTGGTAGCACTCCCAGCGCTAAAAATGGTGGGATTAGCAGCGGTTTTGAATCATGCTAGATACCAGTGATATAAATCAATAAATGTGATAGTTTTTCGTCCCTAGGTTGTGTTATAGGTTGCGAATTGCTACTAGGAGGTCGATAGCTACTTGTTGACACAAAAATCTTCACATGAGTAAATTTGATGTCAGTATTCCTTTAAGCATCACATTTGATGCACCGACTAATGCTATACACTCAATCCAAACACGCTGCCTGGACACAATATCAATTATGACTGTTATGAGAAATTCGCCAGCCGATATTGATGGAGATAAAGGCCACTCCATCTATGCTTGAAAAAAAAAGTTTAACCTGGCTTTTTATCTGAACTAATTACTGTGCAAGACTGTAAAACTTGGTTGTCATGTTTGTAGATCTGCCTTCTATTTCATATCAAGCCAGAGCAGTGCTTCAGGGCTCCTTTCACTGCTTTAGTGCTGGGTTTTAAAGGCACACACAAAAGACATTGCCAACTAGAAATACCATCTTGACAAAAAAAAAGCTACAGAGATATGATGGTGCTTTCTCCAGAGTGGTTCTGAACTGAAACAAAAGGAGCAAACATGCTGCCTGGACACAATGTCAATTATGGCTGTTATGAGAAATTTGCCAGCCGATGTTGATGGAGACAGTGGCCACCCCACCTATGCTTGAAAAAAAATTTTTAACCTGGTTTTTCATCTGAATTCCAATCACTGAGCAAGACTAAAACTTGGTCATCATGTTCGTAGATCTGCCTTCTATTTCATACCAAGCCAGAGGAGTGCTTCGGGGCCCCTTTCACTGATTAAGTGTCGGGTTTTGAAGGCACACACACAAGACATTGCCAACTAGAAATACCGCCTTGACATAAAAAAAAAGCTACAGAGATATGATGGTGCTACCTCCAGAGTGGTTCTGCACTAAGAAAAAAGGAGCCCTCTTTTCACGGGAAAGTAAAAGCGCTAGAAGCGCCATAGTAAAGACAACCGGAAAAAAACCTAAAGCTATATGAGAGAGGGCAAAAACAAAAATATGCGTGAATTTTCACAAAAAGAAAGCAAAATTTGGCTTTCACATGCCATTCTGCTGCTGCACCATTCCACAGCAGTAGGCAGGCAGGCATCAGTGGCTAGTAATCATCAAGCAAAAATATTTCCAATGTCTGGCGCAGCAATTTTTCAATCTCCAGAGTAGCTACAGCTGTAAAGTTGTTTGCCATGTGAAGCTTGAAATGCTGCAAGCACATTTCTCTCCCTTTAATTTTAGGAGCCTTCGCTGTTCCTTGTTAGTAGCCATGCAGTCAACACTCAACTTTTATGACCTCCTCAATTGCTAATTGCTGGGTTTTGAAAACTGCTGGCAGTACTTCAATCCTTGCACATTATGCCTTCTTCTAGTGCATTAAATATAACTTTTTCACTTTATCGACTGTCACTTTATCACTTTATCGACTGTCAATCCTAGCATTAATTATTGATTATGCCTATCAATATTTGAGCAACAAAAAATAATTACATTCTTAAAATCAGCACAAAGATAGATATATCTGTGCTTTAAAAATTTTGTCTTTGTCAAGAAATAAATGAAACTGCTACAGGTGCTATGTACCTTTAAAACAATGCATCTGGACAAACCTGACCCATATTTGATTAAACTATGTTCTACCACATCAATGAATTGATGTGGTAGAACATAAGTAAATTTCTACAAACAGAAATAAATATATGTAGCCAATTAAGGTAACAGTAACAAAAAATCGCTTTTTACAAATTAAGGGAGGGGGGGAGAGAAAAGAAGTCAAAAGGAGTACCTCCTTCATAACAGACATGACTTGCTTGGCTTTCTCATAACGCCGGTGGAAGTCGGCAAAAGTCATTTCCATATTCTGTAGATCTTCTGCAAGCTGCAAAGCAATGTACAAATCTTTGAAGTCTTCACATACTGTCATGCGACCACAAGGCAAACTCGCAGGTTACAACACCCATGGAACCCAACAAAAGGCAGCAGGTCAGTGAAGGCCCGTGCGAAAGAGCCTAGCAAGTGATCCCTGCATTGGTAGCGACAGTTCACAGTTGCTCAGCATGCAGAAATACTTTGCAAATAGGAAGGCCACATGCATCACAATCTGTCAGGCCAACCACCAATTTTTTTTCTTTGAGCTTTCCATACGCAGCTATCAAAGGCAAAGAGAATCAAAATCGAAAACTTAAAGCTGCAGTTTTTAAAGGACTCCAATAGCAGCGCTTGGTGGAAGGAAAGAAAAGATGGCTCCGAGGGCCTCTGGTTTGTGCTATGCTAAAATCTGACTGTTTGCACCGACAAAATAATTTCCCTTAGCACGTTGACTGTTTCCAGCTTAATTGGTTTGACAGTGCAGATTAGGCATAGCAGCGACAAATGTTTTCCTGAAGCACTTTAGCCTTTTGCAATTCTGTTCTCTCTACAAATGCTAGTAATATGGGAGACTAAATAGTTAGTTTTATATATTTCAGCCGTGGCTTATGAATGACACCGAGAGCCGAAAAGCACGAACAATCTGGCACTATTGTAGTAAAGTATTAAGGGTACTATAAAATTGCATAAGCTGCAAGGATATTGAGTTGATTTAACCAGGTTCGGACTTGCCGCTGATCAGCATGACTGTGGGGGCACAAGAGCTTTAGAGTAACGAGAAAATTTCCGAGATGTAGAGAGAGGTTTATTTCGAGAAAGTCTGAGAGGTCCGCCTGAGCGATAGTGTGCTATAGCCTGCTGCTCTACACTGGGGGAGGAAAATGAGGAAGAAAAAGAGTAATCGATCACGATTGGGAGGAAAGGAGAGTATGTACAGTGCGGTCAGATTGGCACACTGCTACAGATGCGCATCCAGTCCAGTGGCTCGTAGAAAAGCTATGACCACTCTTATGGCCACCATTTTACTGGTGGAGTCATGCCAAGGACCCAACAAAACCTCACCAGTTAGTGGCCAATTATGCAATCCCCCAGTAGATGATATTATTGCTGTCGTTCACGCGCGTGAACTAGGCATGTAGAAAATATGTGCCCTAGAGTTTCTGGCACTTCAGTGTTCACAATTAGGACCGGTGTCACTGCAGCTGATAATATGAGCATAATGTCTTGTGAAGGTTACACCCAGACAAATGCAGTGAATCAGCTTTGCGATGTGTCCTTTTGATTTACAAGACATGGGAAATCCAGTACAAAGCGAGTCGGCTCGACCATAGCCAACTGGGGTCAACTCCTTGGAAATAAGACAGCAGCATTTCCAACATTTGTTCTTAGTTTAGTGAACCCTTGACGATTTTGGGAAAGATGAAATTCTTCTTCCCATAGGAACGCAGTCAATTTTCATTGCTGAGGTGGTCAAAGTTCGCTCCAAATAGAAGCTTGCCATTGTTCTTCCAGTATGCCGAAAGGGTTGCAGGTATGGCCGTAGTTGTCGCACAGCACTATGCAACTTTTCGTACGGAAGTTGAGCTTATTAATGCTTTTTTCGTTCATTGTCCATGTACAAGTTCGTGTGTTTTCGAATGATGCAAATATTTTGGGCGCCACCAAAAATTACGAATCATTGAGAACATACTGATTCATAGAAACTAAGTGAATTGTGTATTCAAGCACACTACACTACAGTTGAACCTCAATACTCCTGGAGGCTGGCTCTTCCTGCATGCTATGTTTTCAGTCAGTCGCAGCATAACTTCCATAGGATCCAATGAATTAGGAACCCCACTGTTATAGCTCAACCGTGGAACTCTTCCCATGATACAACATGAGATATCATTCGAGCTGTCCCAAGTGGTTACAAACAGCAGTAAATGACTTTTCATGCAGGCTGGTCTGACCCGACAGTGATATTAGCCACATGACGAGCTTGGGGCATCACCCATGATGTGCATTAGATTCGGGCCAGCATAACATTAGATGCCTGTATTTGCACTCTATAGACGGCTGACTGTTTTGGCTCCCTTAGTAACCAAGGGTAACCCCTTCTGGAGTACAGAAAACCACCAATCTTCTTTGATGCTGTTTTCTAACATGTTTGAAAATTCCCATGTTTTAGTAGAACCACCACAGTCCATTCAGCATAGATTTCTGAAAATTCCCATGTTTTTCGTGGCACCACCACAAGCCCCTTAGCATCAATGTATATGTCCAAAGTATTAGACGCTAAAACTTTGCGGCCCCCAATTTCTTGGGCTGCCTACACCTAAACTGAAGCCAACCCCACTGCTGCTATGTCAATCTTGCAAACTCGAACCAGCGCTTTCACAAATTCATTTGCAACCGCAACATATTCCAAAAGTCAACTTTGCTACAACGCCAAGATGTTCTGGGGTGAGGCATACCAAGAGTTTGAAGAAGCCACTGTTACATGCAGTGTGACAATTCCTTCAAAGGATGAGCCCTGGAAATGCATAGAAGCATGGTGGCAACAGGTTACAAGCATGCCAGTATGGTTTAGTCACTGAATAACCTATTATAAAAAGCCTCTCCAGGTAAACGCTGAACAGTGTATGTGGTCTAGAGCAGTTGTAAATGTACTGCATGCATTCAATAGGCTTCCACTCAAAAGAGCCAATTTGCCATTCACTGCTGCCTTCTAGTTCAAGACTGCTAAGTGCGCCACATCATAAACGGTCAGCTCCATGTGGCAGCACATGCTGCGTTTCAATGAAGCAGCAGGCCTTTTGAAAAGCAGCAGGCCTTTTTGAACAGCAGCAAACAGTTCACACTAACACACACACACTGGAGAAAACCAGATCAGTCACTGATTTTTCCACCACAGCCTTTGTGTTCTGTGTACTACAATGAAATGCTGAGCAAGTGCCCCCTTGCAGAAAAGAAAATTTTGGACCATCTTCTTGAAAGAAACCCTAATGGGATGCGAAGCAGCAGCGGTGCAAATGGCGGTGACCCAGTTGAAGCTGGCGTTGGCGCAGGTGCTGGAAGAATGGTTGGAAGCGTAAATGTGTAGTGTTTACTTGAGTAAACGTTTGTTTGAAAAGCAAAGACCCAGGTTTCATCGCAGATAAATGTGCGGAAAGAGTGTGGTCAAGCGTTGTGGGCGGGTGGAGGAGCCGGCAGCTGCGGGCACTGGGGCGAGTGTTCCGAGGGTGATGGAGAGAGAGTGCCGTCAGCGCGCACTTGCGAGGTAAGCGTGCAAGGGGAGCGTGATGTCAATGTGACCTACTTGGCAACGCTCCAACACCTGCAGCGAGAGGAAGGCATCGCAGCCCGTTCCTATGGACGCACATATGGGAGTCTGAGCCGCTTCGCATTTTCAACCAGATTTGAAGGAGAGCGCTTGCTTGGTCACGAACCAGTCACTGGTGTTTAACACAAAGACAAATCTGGTCTAGTTGGTGATAGTTAATTTTTTATGAGATTACAGCACAAGAAAGGATAAAAACACAGACCAAGGATGCTGATGATGTTTGATGTTTTGTGGCGCAAGGGCCACTTCACGGCCAAAGAGCGCCAGTTCATCTTATTAAGATATGGACAATGATTGTGATAAGCGGCTGTATAAGAGCCATAAAATTCCTCGCGGCAAGGCGGGTAAAAACATGCGAGTAATAAAATCATGACCATGCTGTGAAAGGCGTGTGGTGTGAATAGATGACAAAAGTTGGTGATACTAAAAAACAATGGTAGACATGTATGGCATTACCAAAAGTGCCTCACTCGTTCATACCCTTTGCGTCCAAGGGCCGTGAGGCAAGTGCTTTGTTGTGTAGCCACCGCAGCGAAAACCTCTCTGGAGAGGTCATGCTACGGGTATATGAATGCCCGGGTATATGATATGAAAACTACGAATTTGTTTTAAAAATGCCAACAATGCTTTATAACTAAAAAGTGGTTCCCTACCGACGAACATTGCAGGGTGTAAAGGTATATGTTGTCAGTAGGGTAATGGAAAGTGTTGTTTTCTTAGAGTTTCTAACTGTTCGCACTTAATTAAAATGTGAAGAACTGTTAGTACTTCACCACACCTGTCACACAATGGTGGATCGCCACCGGACAAAAGATATGAGTGTGTCATGTATGTGTGTCCTATCCTAAGCCTTGTTAGTATTACCTCTGTACGACGCTATTTTGATACTGGGGCCAATGGCCAAGGTGTGGCTTAATAATGTGTAGTTTGTTTTGTGTGTGTCTATCCCACATGCTCTGCCAGTAGTCTCTTAGCTTTCGTTTGAGAGACTGCTTAAGATCAGGGGCCGGGATTGATATGGGTGTAGTGGCAGTGCTTTCGTGGACGGATGCAGCAAGCTGATTTGCCATCACGTTGCCTTGGATCTCGCGGTGCCCTGGCACCCAGCACACTACATGTTTGAGTGTGTAGAGTGTGCATAAAATAGAGTAAAGTGAGACGAGGACAGGGTTTTTTTTGTTTTTTAAGATTGTGCAGAGCCGTTACCACACTAAGGGAGTCCGTATAAATTACTGCTTTTTGTATTTGTGATTGATGTGTTTAGCCACCACAAGTATCGCGTAAGCTTCCGCTGTGAAGATACTCGTGCCTGGATGTAGAGGGCCAGCATCCGAAAAGGATGGGCCGACAGCAGCGTAGAACACAGAGGAGTTAGACTTGGAGGCATCTGTAAAGAACTCAGGACGTGTGTATTTGTGTTGAAGTTCCAGGAAGTATGTTCGGATATGGGCAATAGGCGCATGTTTGAAACTTCTAGAAAAGACACATCGCAGTCTATAGTCTGCCATTGCCACGGTGGCGGGTATGCTACAGGAGCCATTAAACTGTGTTCAAGTGAGACTCCAGTTTCCTCAGCTAGACTCTTCAGGCGAACTGAGAAGGGCTGCCTCATCGAAGGCCTGTTTTGAAACAGAATTGAGCTCGACAAATCATTAGTAGTAGAGTATGAGGAGTGCTTTTTGTCT